TCCGTGTTCAAAGTCCCCACTCTCCAAGTGCCGGCTTCAGAAGTCTGAGTCCCCAGAATGATCCTGACCTCTCTGCCCAGTGAGCCCCCCGCCCAAGGAGCCCTGCTATTCAACAGTTTGCTTCTGAAACCCCCAACTCAAAAGTTCAGCCTCTTCCAAGGGCCTGGTTACTAAGGAGGAAGTTATGCCTAGCAGCCGGAGGCTCTCCCCAGAGACAGCACGGAGGCTTCCTAGCAACGGAGCCTGGCTCCTCTTCAGAACACCCTCTGGGGCCCTTGCAGCTGATTCTCAGAGGCCAGACCCCTCATGTCTCAGTGGCCAAGTGAGCAGACAATCGTTATGCCAGGTGGGGGTCCGAGACCTCATAGCACCTTCGGCCTGAGCCCCTTGGTCACCCTACCTTCCTGGGAGGCAGACCTCTTCCTCTCCCTAACTTGAGTTACCAGCTTGACCAGTTCCTCCGAGGCCTGACTCCATCCATCCCCCCAGCACCTGGGGCTTGTGAAGCCAGACAAATACTGAAGGCCTCTCCATCCCTTCAGATGCAGGGCTCCTATGGGCCGCTCTCCACCCCTGGCACCTGGTGCGGCCCGTCTTAAGCCCTAGCAATGCCTACAGCCTCAGCAACACATCCCCAGAGCCGTCTCGGGCCTCCACTTCACACGCTAGAACCCTTGGTAACCGCAGAAGCTACGGGTCCAGCAAGGCCAGCAAACTTCAGGCCCTCTGCACGCTTCCTTCTCAGAGACTAGATCCCTCCACTGCCCTGGTTACCATAAGAGGTAACACCCCCCCCCAAACATTCACCTATATTGAACCCCTATAGCATCAGCCACTGTACTGGACACCAAACCAAATAGGCCTAAGAAAGACCCAAATGGACCCACAATTATTTATATGGAACCTGGCATAGGGCTTTGTATATAGTAAGTGCTCAATAAATGATTGTTCAGTAAATACGGGACCTTACAAAGCCACCCCCCAGCTCCTTCAGTGGTACCCTCAAGGCCAGACATTCTCTAACAACAGGGTCTGGTGGAAAGTAGCATCCCCTCTTAGAGGCCAAAATTCGCCAGGACTTCCATTTGCTAAGGGGAGGAGGACATTCCCTAGCAACAAGGCTATCGTGTGGGCAGGTGGGATGTAGGGAAATCTGAAACGACACAACCCAATCCCAAGGGCTGTATCAGTCACATGACTTGGTGTGGCAACGTCTAGTGGGATCTGGGGGGGGTGGGGGGGGTCCAAGTCCTATTCCTACGCCTGCACGGGTCCCATGCATCCCGCCCTGGGGACCAAACTCCCTGGAGCTCCTGTCGCCAAGGGGGCTGATACTCAGCCATGAGGAGCGGCAAGGCCCAGGCTGACCTGGTAGAGCCAGAGGCCTGAGCTGGGCGGCCATGGGGTTTATGAGCACTTTTGGTTTTGGTGGCAGAACTCACCCAGAACTTGACCAGGAAGAAGGCGTGAGGGGGCCCACGGTCGTACAGCTCCCGCAGACCCCCCTTTTTCTCAGGGAATTTGTCATAGATCTGCCGAACGTCCACGCTCTCGAGCGGGGGAGCTCCGGGGCTCGGGCAGTGCTGGCTGATGTGTACGAACAGGTGCCTCTGGTACTGGGGAGAGAGCCATCGGTGAGGAGTGGGAGATGGGCTGGACCCCCGGCCCGCACTGCCGAAGCCAATCTCACACCCCTGTCGCCACCCCCAGAGCTCCTGCTAGCGGTTCCGCCCTGTCCACCTAGACCCTGGGCCCAACTCCCAGGCATGTCTCTACTCTCTTCAGCCCCTTCATTCCCATAGTACCTCAGTCCCCAAGCCCTGTCCCTACTGCCCGACTCTCCGCCCTGTCCCCTACTCTCCATCCTCATAGGCCTGTCCTCTCCCACTGTCACCCCAGCCTCCTGCCTGGCCTCCCAGCCTCCCATCTCTCCTCCCCAGTTCATCAGTCATATGGCTCCAGAGCTGACCCTTGACCTCCCCTGCTCATAATTTTCCCATGGCTCCCCAGCACGCCCAGCACAAAGACCATACCCCTCAACCTGGCCATGTTTTGAATAGTTGTTCATAAATGTCCCATCAATGGAAGGATGGGTGGATGGGAATCCACATAGCCCACATCAACACTGTCTCCCTGTTCCCATTCTTTTTTTTTTTTAATATATTTTATTGATTTTTTACAGAGAGGAAGGGAGAAGGATAGAGAGTTAGAAACATTGATAAGAGAGGAACATCAATCAGCCGCCTCCTGCACACCTCCCACTGGGGATGTGCCCGCAACCCAGGTACATGCCCTTGACCGGAATCGAACCCGGGACCCTTCAGTCCGCAGGCCGACACTCTATCCACTGAGCCAAACAGGTCAGGGCTCTCTGTCC